AAATATAAAATATTTTTGTATAAAAAGAAAATTATAAATATAATAAATTTTATTTATTTTAAACGTACCACTGCAGAGAAATTCGTAGAATTATTTAAAAATTCTTCAAACGTTTCATATTCATTAACTGACTTCAGCGGAAGGGCCGGCAGGTTATTTGGTCTTAAGAGGAGACTTTCCTCTGGTGCTAAATGCGTAAGAATTTTTGTTGTGTTCATCATTACAAAATCAAGTTTACTGCTTATTTCTTGAAGCAACTCTGTCTTAACTTTGTCTACGGCAATTGTGTTATCATCTAAATAATGTAAACAAATAATAAATGTAAAATATATAATAGTAAATAAAATTTTAAATTCTTTAAATATATACATACTTGTTGATTGATTCTTACTGGAAGAAACAAATGTTCTAAATGAATTATTGTAGTTTGCATCATGAGACCTATTTTCTTTAGAATGCTCGCTACTTGATATAGGTGTAATCTCAGAGTGTTCCTTATTTAAATAAGTAGATTGACATAACTCCTGCGAGATACTTTTATAAGCGTTGTCTGCTGAAGTAATAATTACTTTACTATTTTCCTTTTGTACATTTTCTGTGTATATAGAATACAATAAGAATATCATAAGTAGAAACATGAAAGAACAGCAATGTAGAAATAATTGTGCAGTTAGTAGAAATAACTTAATTTCCAAATGTTATTGAAAATAACTATAACTTACGTATTATTGGAGTGAATAGTAAAGCAGATTCTGATTGTTGAACATTATTTCCAATCATACCAGAGGTATTTGGAAAGGACATAGGAATTATTGCTTCTGTTACTGCGTGTGCAGCGGCACCTGTTTGCTTATGTATTATTTTAGTATGTGAGTGACTTTCTGTTATATTATTTACATCAACCAAATAGTCCTTTTTTGAATCATGTGTATTAATTAAATCCTTGTATTTCATAACCATAGAAATCTCCTTGTCTTGAGGAACCTTTGGTTTTCTACTATTTTTCTTGGATAGTAATGTTGCAACTTTGGCCTGAAGATCTTCTTCTAGCGTTTCCTCACTTTCACTGTCGTCAGACAGTAGTTGATTTGATGTACAACTTTTCTTAACATTGTAATGAAGATTACATTCATCTTCGGTTGACTCTATGAAATATTTCGGATTTCTCTTTCTTTTCCTTCGATGATCTATATCACTAACTTCAGTTCCTACTGTCTGATCTTCATCATTTTGAAGATTAGCTGCCTTGCGT